TTTTCAAGTTGGAATTTTTAAGAAGGCATTCAAAACAGTACATGAACAAACCTCTTTTTAAAAAAATATACCAAGTAAGAAAGAAGTTATATATTTCAGAGGTTACAACAGCATTTAACAAGTAAGACAAAGACAACTACCTTTTGCTAGTAAGATCCAAGTAAGAAACTGTTTTAAAGCATAGCACTGTGAAGCTATCCGCAGCATCACAAGCACATGTTCAATCCCTGGCTGGCCAGGGAGCTACCCACATGGCACAGCAGACCTCTCCTATCTTGCCCACTGCTCCCCTCAGCAGTGTATTTCAGTCAGTTTGCCTGTTCTGTTATCCACTCTTTCTGGTGAATCCTCTCACTCGCCACCTCTCACCCTGCCCTGTGCCTGTACCCCAGTTCTTGTATGCATAAATTGTTTTAACCCATTCCTGCCCTATGATGTAGTCATCAAATTACACTAGAAAACTGTTGTTTACTAATTTTTGAAGAAAGCAGAGAGCGACCCTAAACCCTCCAGTGGGAAATTTGTTATTGACAAGATCAGATCATCTGCTGTTCAAAGAAGTCCATTAAACCTACCTGTATCTGGCCATCCTGGTGGTACAGGGGTTAAAGTCTCAGCACTATCAAGCTATCACCATCCACAGAGGCTGGCTGGTTTTGATCCACAGCCAGGGGATCTACATGGCTCAGTAGATCCCCCTATTTTGCTCCCCACTCTGTCTCTGGTGAATTCTCTCACCCCCCACACCTCTGTCCTACACCTCAGTTCTCGTATGCATAAATTAATAAAAATAAATCTTTGAAAAAAACAAACATAGCAGTATCATGTTGAGTAGTCATGTCAGTGCTAATGATAAACTCTCCATTACTGATGATAACCAATTCCAAGCTTTCGAGCCTTCTCCTCTGACCATACTCAAAAGCAACAACTGTAGTCCTGAGGGCTATATAGGACCTTATGTTTCTGGGCTCTGAGTGAAATTCTTTAATTTCCACATTCTTTGAACATTATCAAAAAGTTTTGAAAGAGACACTCAGAAGCTACTTTAATACTGATGGTTATTTTCTTAAAGCATGCTTTCAAGGAGACACGCAAGAAATTAAATCAAATTGTGACATAAGCACAGCTCATGTGCTTATGTAAATTTTAAGAAAATTTCATCTATGAGCAGAGAATAATAAAAATAGAGCCAGTGATTAACATCAGTCATACGGAACTGAAAGAAGGGTGCATTATTAATTTTTAAAATAAATGTATTGATTCTGTGCACGTCAGTATAAAATATATAGAACTACATGTAGAAAATTTGGAAAAGAGAAAAAGAAAGTAGTTACCATCAATCCTATTCAATCATTGTTTTAATCATGGCATCTTGTCTTATCAATACAAAAACTGATTTTCAAAACTTGCTGAAATTAGTTTTTATCAAAATAATTTTAAGATATCATTTTTAATGTAGATTTAATTTATAATGTGATAAAGTTCAAAGATACAATTATAGAGCAGCAACTTATATATGGTATCAAAAGCAAAATAGCCACAAACTGTTTTAGTTTCAAAATATTTGTACTCTATTTACTCAGTTCTTTTCTGTCTATCCTCACATGTATTGTTAATACAAATGTTTTGACTAAGTCCTGGCACGTGGTATGCAATACATAGATATATTTTGTGTTATGGTTGCTAATTGTACTTGCTAATTATACTTGGTAATATAACTAAGCCAAGTTATTCATTGTACAAACACTCAGTACTAAATAAATCCTTTTAAAACTCCAGTTAAAGTTTAGAACAGAATCTTAAATGATTAGCATTATTAAAGCTCAAAGAAGTGTAGCTGGTAGAACTCATTTAAAATACATGGGTTCTTTTTTGATTGCTGAATAATATTCCGTTGTGTATATGTACCACATCTTCTTGATCCAGTCATCTATTTTTGGGCATTTGGGTTGTATCCAGGTTTGACCTATTGTAAATAGTGCTGCAATAAACTCATGCCATTTGCAGCAACATGGATGGAGCTAACAGGAATATAGGGGAACCAAATAAAACAACAGTGTAAAAAAATAATAACAGTACAAAACACAACAAAGCAAAAACAGACAATTATAAATCAGAGGCATACTGTAGTGGGGGAGGAGGGAGAGGGATCAGAGGGAGGGAGGGAGGAGGATAGGAGACTGAGGTGATGGTGCACGGGTGCACTGGGGAAGGAAATTCTATGGGGACTCAATCTGAGGGGGTGGGGGGAAGAAAATATTGTTTAAAAATAAGAAAAATTAAAAAAAACAATTTGAACATAAAAAAATACACAGGTACACCAAAGAACACAAAAACATTGATTCAAAAGAATACTTGTACTCATATGTTTATTGCAGCACTATTCATAATAGGTAAAACCTGGAAACAACCTAGATGCCCAAAAATAGATGAGTGGATCAAGAAGATGTGGTATACATACACAGTGGAATACTATTCAGCAATCAAAAAGATAAACTCATGCCATTTGCAGTGAAATGGATGGAGCTAGAAGGAATTATATGCTCAGTGAAATAAGTCAGAAAGAAAAAGAAAAATATTGGATGGTTTCACTTATAGGAGGAATATAGGAGAACCAAATAATATACATGGGGTGGGGAATAATAACAGTTCAATACACAACAAAACAAAACAAAACCAAACAGACAATTATAAATCAGAGACATCCTGCAGGGGAGGAGGAGGGAGAGGGATCAGAGGGAGGGAGGGAGGAGCACAGGGGACTGAGGTGATGGTGCACAGGTGCACTGGTGAAGGAAATTCTATGGGGACTACACCTGAGGAGGGGAAAAGGAAAAAAGCAAACATTGTTTAAAAATGAACAATGATGGGCATCGCCGGTGGCACAGCGGGTTGAACGCTGCTCTGTGAAGCTATCCACAGCCTCTGCAGTGAGGGTTAGATTCCTGGCCGGCCAGGGAGAAACCCACACAGCGCGGCAGACCTCTCCTGCCTCACTTGCTGCTGCCCTTAGCAGTGTCTTCGGTTTGTCTGCCTGTTCTGCTCCCTGCTCTGTCTCTCACCATCCCGCGCCTCTGACTGTACCCCAGTTCTTGTATAAATAAATAAATCTTTATAAAAAAAGATGTAAAATATATATGAATTAAAAATAAATAAATAAATACATGGGTTCACTAAATGCTAAGATGTAGTCCACTTTGATAGTTATTGGTTTTCTTGTAGGGACAGAAATCATATTCTCATTTTTTGAGGGATTCATTACAAATAGAATTATCTTTCCTGATGACATTCCTTTCAACAGACTTCTGGCAAACCTCTATCTTCCCTTAAGCAGGGCAGGAACTAACTGTCTTGTACCCCTTATCCTTAGGACCCTCTGAAGGAGTGAATTTCATAAATTTACTTCATGCAGCTCTGCTCTGTTACAACTTAGGGAATCCTTCACAGTAGTCTTCTGAAACCACCATCACAAGTCAAAGAAGGGGCTGCAGTGGAATTTGGTCATTCAAGGTGTTCCTTCTGATCTAATGAAACCGGAAGGGATTTTGTTTTGGGAGTGTTTTTTGTGTTTTTTTTTTTTTTAACTCTGCACATATAGATGATGCCCTGAGGCAGCTGAGATGACCACTTGGCATTACCCTCCTCATATAAAGTCCTTAACACCTAAAGCATTTGATACTATGGCTTGGTTGTGTGGCTGTCTACTATGTCTTAATATCTTCTATGTTGGAAAATACATTTTATACTGCATATTTTTAAACCTGTTTATTCATGTTTATGTAATTAAATTTGTTAATTAACCCATCCAAATTCTGAACATATCAACAGGTAACTGCAGAATCACTCTCTTTTTCTAACTCTAATGTTAGCATCTGTGCTATTGATTATTCGTGATTCCTAAGCAAAAAACAAACATCGCTTCCACTGAAAACCATTTTCACAATCCAGATGAGAACCAGCTTAGCATCAAAGTTCTACAGTAAGGGGCCTCCCCTGTGGTGCTGTAGGTTGAGCACAGCACCGTGAAGCTCTCTGCAGCCCTCTGCAGCGCCGGTTCGATTCCCGGCTGGCCAGGGAGATTCCCACATGGCACAGCAGACCTCTCCTGTCTCCTCCACTGCCCCCCTCAGCATTGTCTTCAGGTCCATCTGCCTGTTCTGCTCCCTGCTATCTCTGGTGAATTCTCTCACCCTCCCGTGCCTCTGACCAGTTCTTATATAAATAAATAAATCTTTAAATTTTTTTTTTCTACAGTAAGATTATTCATCACTTCTTTGAAGATTTCATGGTGTTGAAGTAGCAGGAATCATTTTCTCAACTAAGTAGAAAAATGGACTATTTACAATATAAAGTTTTATGGCATTACCCTCTTCATATGAAGTCACATTGTATATATGTCATATTGCAGTGATGGGTTTTGCATTTTCAGGCTTTTCTCACCATGATAAAGTTGATCTTAAATAAAAACCTTTCAAAGACTACAAGGCTGAAAAATAAATGTTCCCAGCTACATCAGTGAATTTTGTACTTTAATATCTTTTTTTTCCCCAATTGGTTGCTGCTTTCATTATCCCTTACTTATAGCTTCCAAATTCTGTTCAAAGGGCTCTGTTCAGGTTTGAAAAGAAAGAATTACCCACGGAGTTGAGATGGATGTTCTGAGCACAGCTGGTGATTGTTGTTACATCACTTGTTTTGTTAAGAGCATTTCTTCTCAATCCTTTTATGAGATAGCAAATAAGTGATACTATAAAAGCCTACCTTGTGAATGTTTTAGATAAATCTTATTGTTTTTAAAGGAGCACTTTTCAAATAGACGATCTCATTCTAGAGTTCTGAAAACCAGAAAGGGGAGTAATGCCACACAGCATTTAGGTGTATGCTTCAGAATCCCTGTAGTGAAACATGTCACCCTCCCATCAGAGGGGTAATGACTTGAGAAGTGCCTTCATGCTCTCTTTGGTTTCCATGGTACTCATTGTCAATGCCTTTTGTCGTAGGCAGAATACTTCTATGAATTCCTGTCCTTGCGCTCCCTGGATAAAGGCATCATGGCAGATCCAACCGTTAATGTGCCTCTGCTGGGAACAGTGCCTCACAAGGCATCAGGTGGGTGGTCTTCACTCAGAGAAAGGTTTACACTTAAAATGTAATGGTGACGGGACCCTTTTTTAAGCTCCAGATGTCACCCATCGGAAGGAATATGAAAGGCTTTCCTGAAGAGATGTTGATTTTAGGGCAACTCAGTTGTTGTCCCTTCATCCTTTAGGCAAAAGGTGAGCATGGGAGTGAAGAAATGACAGTTTGATAATGTCCTACTTACTCTATGTAGTCCTAGTTGATGAATGATACCAGATTAACAAGAGAAAGTTGCCAGGTGAGATAAATCTTGCCAGTAATGTGGATTCATATAGTGAACATATACATGGCAAAGAAGCCAAGTAAGTAAGTAGGAGCAAATGGGATGTCAAGAAAAACCTTGTATTGTATTAAATGGGAATTTGAAGGCAAGAAGAGACATGGAAAAAGAGGGAGAAACGGGTTCAGGCTATTAGATTTAATCATCCTTTTTGCTAAGAAGATAATAGTATGTGATGTTTATTTACAGCTTTTCAGCTTGCAGAGTACCTCTTCATTTGGATCTGAGTTATTTGAATGAGCCAAGGTCCAAACTTACAGCTCCTTTTTAAAAATTAAAATATTAAGGTGCATGAGATTAAACTGACCTTCCCACAATCATTGGTAGTAAGTGGTGAGTTGAGAATAGAGGCCAGGATTTATGACTTTTGGAAAATACAGAGATCAGTTACATAACATGTTCAAATATTTCTACAAATGCACATTTCACATAATTGTGGCAATATTATGTATTTAGTTTGCATCATGACTCTTTTGTTCCTAACACTTTAACATAAGCATTTTCTCATGTCATCATAGATTTCCCCAAAAGTTGTTTTTATTGCCCTTAATAGTATTCCATTTATAAACATATTGTCATTTTTTTACTCACCCACAAAATAAGTGTCTTACTTAGAGTTTGCAGGGTTTGCGTGTGTCAACGATCACCGTAGGCATCCTCTCTAAGGTCCCAGGCCATTGTTGGACAACTCCTCGCACAGTAGCCCAGCACAGAGTGGCTGTGCAGAAACCAATTGTCTGTTGCTGAGTGTACCGAAATCATAGAGCTCATCATGTTAAAATGGATTCTTAGAATTATTGTGTCAAAGGACATAAACTATGAGGATGTAAATTATGAACTTTTGAAAAGATTCTTAGAATAAATTGGAAAAATTTCCACATACTTTCCACCAAGGTGGAGCCCAATTGTACCCTGGTTAAAGTGCGGGGAAGAGCTTGCCTTACTGTAACTCATCAACATAGGTTATTAATCAGGTGAACTATTTTGCTGACTTCAAAGTGAAAAGTGGTTTCTCAGTATCCTTTTAATTTGATTTTTTAAATTCTTATTGAGGTAGAGCATATTTAAGACAGTATAAGATGTCTATGTACTATGCTCATTTTTATGTTGCTATAAGAGTATTTTAATTGATTGGCAAGTTTGCTTTATTGAGCTTATTGTAATTTTTTAAATTTACTGCTTATATTTTATTGGGGGGGAGGAAATGCAGAGGCTTTAAAATCCTATGTCATCATGGGCCTCCCTGGTGGCACAGGTGGTTGAATGCCACACTGTGAAGCTGTCCATAGCCTCTGCAGCGCGGGTTCGAACCTGACTGGCCAGGGAGATTCTCTCCTGTCTCACCTGCTGCTCCCCTCAGCAGTGTAATTCAGTAGATCTGCCTGTTCTGTTCCCGGCTCTGTCTCTGCTGAATCCTCTCACCCTTCCGCGCATCTGCTCTGTATCCTGGTTCTTGTATAAATAAATAAATCTTTTAAAAAAAATCCTATGTTATCAAAAGTATCTTTTCCTTTGTGATTTTTCCCCATTATTTTTATGCTTGGAAATTATTCCTATTCCAGAGTCCTATTCCAGAGGGCAGTTATCATTTATCATATATCAGTTATCATTTATACACATGCTTCTAGTATTTTATAAAAATTTACTTTAGCAATAGTATGAGATAGGGCTCTAATCTGAATTATTTTTCTGAGTCAACAAGTTTTCCAGTGTGAGAGTTTGACTTGATTCAAGATATTCCTCGTATTTCACATTAAGTTTTTCTATAACGTAGTTTTATTTTTTTTTAAAGATTTATTTATTTATACATACAAGAGCTGGGGCACAGGCCAGAGTTGCGGGGTGAGGGGGCATGAGAGGATCCACCAGAGACAGAGTGGTGAACAGAACAGGCAGATTGACTGAAATACACTGCTGAGGGGAGCAGTGGGCGCGACAAGAGAGGTCTGCCTCATCATGTGGGTTTCTCCCTGGCCGGCCTTGGATCAAACTTGTGCTACAGTGGCTGAGGATTGCTTCATAGTGAGGTGCTTAACCCCTTGCACCACCAAGGAGGCCCCTATAACATAGTTTTAGAGCTCATTACTTGTTCTGATATTGTAATATTTTACTTGTATAATTTTATAATAACTGATAGCTTAATACTGTCTGTTTTATTAAAAACTAATCTTGTTCTTCTACAGAAATTTTAGAATAATCTTGTTAGTTGTACTGAAAACCTCACTATGAATGCTTTAAATCTACAAAATAATCAGAAAATCAGGCATGCTTACAAAGTCTACTTTGTGGTTATCTACTACTTCCAACAACACCCTGGCACTCTAGGAGTTTGGGCCTTAAATTAGCATAGAGTTTTTCCCATTTTCTGGCATAAGTACCAATGTGGACCTAGACAGGAGGAAAGCAAATTTTAGTCTCTTGGGTCATCCCAGTGATGCTGACACAACTAGCAGTCCACACAGAGGATTTTCATCTAATCTAGATAGGCTTGAGTATATTGAAAGAATGAGGATGTCTTGGTTCTGGAGATTGTAGTATTCACCTGAGATATGTAGTTCCAAGGACGTGAATATTCCCATTCCAGAGACATGGATAGCACAGTCCCACTCAGTTGTTACTGCTGGATTTCACTATTTCATTGATAAGAAAGACAATCTGGCCACCAAATTCTTGGAATATGGTTATTACTCAGTCTCAACTGTGTCATATGGTAATCCTTTTTTTTTTTTTAAGATTTATTTATTTATGCATACAAGAGCTGGCGTACAGGCCAGAGGTGGAGGGGGGCAGTGAGAGGATTCACCAGAGACAGAGTGGGGAACAGGGAGACTGACCCAAGTACACTGCTGAGGGGAACAGCAGGCAAATCAGAAGATATCTGCTGTGCCATGTGGGTAGCTCCCTGGCAAGGTCCGGGATTGAACTCGTGCTGCACAGGCTGTGGATAGCTTCATAGGTTGCATCTTAAGCCCTTGTGCCACCAGGGAAGCCCTGGTAATCCTTTTTTTTTTTAAAGATTTATTTATTTATTTATTTATTTGTTTGTTTGCTTGTTTGTTTGTTTGTTTATTTATACATGCACTGGGTACAGTCAGAAGCGCGGGAGGGGGAGAGAATTCACCAGAGCCAGAGCGGGGAGCAGAGCAGGCAGAAGGACCGAAGTACACTGCTGAGGGGAGCAGCGGGCAGCAGGAGAGGTCTGCGCACCATGTGGGACCCTCCTCTGGTGGCCAGGGAGCAGCCAGGGATCGAACCAGTGCTGCAGAGGCTGCGGGCAGCTTCGCAACCCAGTGCTCAACCGCTGCGCCACCAGGGGAGGCCCCCTGGTAATCCTTTTTAATCAAAGATACAAAGATAATTTTCTATAAAATTTCTCTTGATCATATTTTTTGCTTTTCTTTTCAGAAGCAGTCAGGAATAAAACAAATTCCATTTTATATTTTCTTTCATCATTTTCTGATCATTAAAGCTCTGATAAAAATGCATTAACTAAATTAATTACACAATTATGCTTGTTTACCTTCCAATAAATCTTGCACATTTTTGGATTTTTAACTTAGTGATTATACCCCAAATCTTCCCAGTTTTTTTTTTTTTACTTTGTGTCTAATAAAATAAGCTTGCTAAAATTCTACTTATTAGACTATTGAAACAACAAGATTTTAAAGACTATTTTAAATGATGTCTAGATAAAACATTTTTTTAAATGTGAAGTCTTTACATACTTCAGAGGAAGAGGAGGGAGAGGGATGAGAGGGAGGGAGGGAGGAGCACAGGGGACTGAGGTGATGGTGCACAGGTGCACTGGTGAAGGAAATTCTATGGAGACTACACCTGAGGGGGTGGGAGGAAGCAAATATTGTTTACAAATAAATAATGATATAAAAAATAAAAAATTAAATTAAAAAAATAAATGTGTAGACTTTATAAATAATGCATTTTCGGGGGAAAGTGAGTGATGCTTTTGGCAAAGTGAGATTAAGAACAATTTTCTTGAAGTTACTTGTGTATGTGCATATATACACAAATACACCCCCTTTGCATGTACAAACCCCCTACACACACAGACACACACAGACACACAGTCATACACACACAGGATTGTGGAAGCAGATGTAGGATTATTTGCAGAAATGCAGGTGCAAGAAGTTTATGGGAATTTTAGCCCGTCCTAGGGCAGTTATTCATTAGCCTCATTAGCTCAGTCCCCACAGTAGGAGCAGTGAGGGTACCTTGAATTATTAAAAAGTAACCAAATCAGTGTGTCTTTGCTCCTAAGCATCCAGGTAGTATTCATTATTCTACTGGGCTATTTTATACCCCCAAGCTGCTAAGCTGTTCTTTTATCCCAGACTCCTATACGCCTAAACATTGCAAGAAAAAAGAAAACTCTTGATCTTTAACAGTTATGAAGTGCCTGCCTTCTGGCATCTGAAGAGAACAAAAACAGGAAATACAAACTGCAGGGTGGTTCAGTAAAATTACTGAGTTGTATAACAAAAAACAGTTTCCATAAAGCCAAGGCTTTGCCTCTTTGAACACTCTGTCTCTGTCATACCATGAAATCAACAGAGCAGAGGTGTTTCTCAGCCAAGACTCGGAACCCAATGCCTAGAAATATTTTAAATAGGCACCAGTGCTGGAAGGACCATCTTTTTCTCAGTGACCCCCGTCCTTAACAGAATGTGGGGCCCAGAACACATGCTCAGTTTGCAGAGAGAATGAATGGCTGTCAGCACAGCTTCAAGGACTGATGCTTATTTGTGTTTGATGATTTGAAATCATATAGCAGTTTATATAATCATGTGTGTGAAGTGTTGAGCATGAGCCCTCGCCCGCTTTTCTTGTCTCTTTCCTCTTTGTGAGGACAGTGACTGGCATCACCAGAGTCTTAGGCTGTATGAGCACCAGGCCCAGGTCAGTGTGGGCAAGGTATCAATCAGCAGCTTGCTGTTTATTTCTATATGAGTTAGTTTATGTGCAATCAAGTGCACACCAGTGTGTATTTGAATGTCATGTGAGTTATACTCCATCTGCTATAGTTTTTCTGAGTGGTTTTAATTCACCTTGGTTTAGATTATACAACTTAGACTGCACTGGAACTCACATCTGGCTGAATGTCATCTAGTCTTTGGTAAAAATACCTCTCTCCTTATATGCTTCTTGCAAAAATACAACATGAATTTCACATTTCTATTATCCCTTAGAAGTATGTATGTCTTTCCTGCCTTGGATGATACCTTTTTTTGTACATGTTAACATTTTATTTTCTGTATCTCCCACAATCTATGGTGAATTTGTTTATTTCTGTGTTTGTGTGTGTGTGCACATGTACATGTACAAGTGTATGCCGGTGTGTATAAAGGCTTATGGGTGTATCTCCCATAATTATATCTTTGTGTCTTTCAGTTGTGTAGTTTGTGACAGACAATATGCCAGGTGCTGAGATTATTGAAACAACTAAGATGCGGTCTTTGCCTTTGAAAAGCTCATCTTTAGCAAAACCAACTAAAATCATTACAGTGCAATCACATAGAGGTCTTGTGAGTTACATAAGTGAAAGAATTTAGGCATGGAGTGTCAGGGATGGCTACGGGGAGCAAGTGTTATTTGCTTAAAGAGTGAGTGGGAAGATGCTGGACAAAAATGAGGAGAAAGAACATTCCAAGCAGCTGCATGGAAGTGCAGCATCAGGCTACTGTGGATGTGTACCATATGTTTGGGAACTGAAAGAAATCTAGTTTGGATAAAGCACACATTTTCACAAAAATAAATTACTGAAGACGAGGCTAAATAAAGTCTTTTAAAGCAAAATTCTTTAAGAAGTTTTAAAAGGTGTTTAAAGCTCTTATGACTTGAGTCTTAGGGATAAAATTTATAAGCAGAAAGGAGGACAAGTAGAGCTTGCATAAGATAAAATTAAATTTTAATTTTATGTTTTAAAATTGAAAAATGGGCAAATATAATGGAATTTCCTATACATATAATAAAATCTTTTTAATTTAGCATCCAAGACATGCCTTGAAATTTGACAATCTTGAGAAACAGAAATGAAAAATTGTTTTGAAACAAATATCTTCTCTTTCATGCTAAGATTCTGAAAGTTAAAATAAATATGCCCCCCCCTTTTTTAAAGATTTATTTATTTATACAAGAGCTAGTGTATGCGCCAGAGGCGCGGGAGGTGAGAGGATTCACCAGAGACAGAGCGGGAAGCAGAACAGGCAGACAAACCAAAAGCACTGCTGAGGGGAGCAGCAGGCGAGATAGGCGAGGTCTGCCACAGCATGTGGGTATCTCCCCAGTCGACCAGGAATCCAGCCAGTGCTGCATGGCTGTGGACAGCTTCACAGCACTGTGCTCAACCGCTTGCACCACCAGGGAGGCTCAAATAGGCCCTTTTAAAAGAATTAAGTGGATTGAAAAATAAAGGCTGAATGAGGTCCAGGAAGAAAACATACCTGGAAAACGATAGTTTAGATGATGATGTGATAAAGAACATTCTAAAAGTTCTATCTTTATTCTTTCACATTGTTCCATCATTTCTATGCTTCAGGGAAATAAATCATTGGCCTACCCATTCATGCAAAAGACTCATAAGAAAGATTAAAAAAAAAGTTGTAATTGAACAAAGTATAAATGCACTGGAAGAGCTAATAAATTAAAAGAATTGTGAACTCCTCTACTTCCTTCTTTTTTTTATTTATGTATTTTTTACATCATTGTTCATTTTTAAACAATGTTTGCTCCCCCCACCCCCTGCCAGGTGTAGTCCCCATAGAATTTCCTTCACCAATGTACCTGTGCACCATCACCTCAGCCCCCTGTGCTCCTCCCTCCCTCCCTCTGAGCCCTCTCCCTCCTCCTCCCCTGCAGCATGTTTCTGCTTCCTTCTGAAGTGGAAATCCTTATCAATGAATTTTTGTTTTGTAAACTTGCATTTTGATGTAAGATTTCATTAAACCAAAGCTTTCAAGGGGGACAATTTTACTTTGGAACTTCAGGCATTATTTTGCTTTTGTTTTTTTATTATTCCTGTTAAAATATTTGTATTTTCTTTTCATTTCTTAATTTATAATGCTCAGATCTCAAAGTTCAGGGGAACTGGAAATCCACGTTATTTTGGGACTGGCACAGTAATGAATACTGTCAATAGCAAAGCCTTGAGAGGGTTTTTTGGTTGCCAAGTCTGTTAAGAAGATTGTAACACCAGTTTGTATAAGTGCTTATTGAAAAAAGTGACCAATTTCAAGTTTATTTCTTCTTTTGAACTTAGGGGAAAGATTTATGAAAACTCTAAAGGTTTATGATTTTCCCAAATTTGGGAGAACCATCACCTACCACACGAAAACAAAATGAAGCCAAAATGTGTATGTGTACTGCTAGCAACATTTCTTCTAATTAATAAGGGAGAATTAGAATTTAGAGAATTAGCTTAGAGGATTGGGCTTCCCCAGTGGATATGGTATGGTAATCCAGTGAAATACGGAAATTTATATAGTCATTCTCTCGGCCAATGACTTGAGCCACTTTCCATCCAATGGCTTGTGGGAATTCCACGGTGACTTAATTGTCAACATCTGTGTACCCAGGTGATCATTAGAGTCATAAAAACGATGTGACTCCTCCTTAGGAACCGAAGCCATTTGGGCCTCCCCCTGTGGCGCAGCAGTTGAGCACTGGGCTTCGAGGCTGCCCGCAGCTTCTGCAGCGCCGGTTTGTTCCCTGACCACCACCGGCGAGGGTCCCACAAAAAATAAAAAAATAAAATAAAATAAAAGAACCTAAGCCATTAAATATAAGCCTATCATGTGATTATTTCATCACACCAAGCTCTCTTCTAGATCCCCAAGATATAGACATTTCTAAATATTAACAAATAGCCTGAGAAAATATAAGATTTATTAACTCAATCCAGTGATTGGCATTTATTCTGAGTTGTAGAATATTTTCAAAAACCGTATTTTGTCACTTTCAAGCACACAGAATAAAAATAAATGAATGAGGTAGTGCTTACTGGGCTTTATTTAGTGGAATCTGAAATATCAAATTTTAGCTCTTTGGGGATTATATGAAGGCAGGCAAAGTTGTGTGCAAAGTGTCTTTCCCCAATTAATTAATCTATGCTGCCTACTTGCACCTCTAATTTTCAGAGATCCTTTTTTCAAGATAGTACAGAGCCAGACTATAAGCAAATATCCTGAATTCCACATTAGGTAAGGTACAAATTAACGAGAATTATTCATTCACTCTCCACCAAGATATACAAGTTCTGTGCAGAATGCCCAGAATATCATAATGCTGATATGAGGAGTGGAGACACAGGAATGTCAGATAATGACATCTGAACATTTTTGCTTTGTTCTATGTCTCTCTTACCACGATGCCTGTAAAATTGGTCTCAACTAAATAAACTCCTTCTACCTACTTTCTTTTTCTTTAGTTGTTCAAGTTGGATTCCCATGTCTTGGGAAACAAGATGGAGTGGCAGCATTTGAAGTGAATGTGATTGTAATGAATGCAGAAGGAAACACTATCCTGCAGACACCCCAAAATGCCATCTTCTTTAAAACATGTCAACAAGGTAAATGGTGATTGTGATTCAAGAGAAGGCTAAGTCTTCCAGGTGTGATTTGGGCAGAAGAGAGAGAGAGAGAGAGAGAGAGAGAGAGAGAGAGAGAGAGAGAGAAAGAGAGAGAGATAGAGATATATAGATGATAGATACATAATTTTTTGTATAATTATAGCCACACCTGTGGGAAGAAAGCGTGGTAAATATGGGATCCTGTAAAAGCACAAGATATACTTTCTCTGCTTTGAGCCCACCCACAATTTTAGGAACTCCAATAGCCTTCAAAATGCTCTCCCCTTCCTCCAGCACAGACTTTGGAAGTGCCCAAGGCATCTCATCTTGCCTATGGTCAACGAAGAGCCCTTTCTGGCTCTGGTTCCTGATACAAGGTTGCCAGTCATTTCCAGTCACATAACACAACACTGTCCATACTCCCAGCTGAAAGGTTGGTGCTACTGACTTCCATGGAGAACCAGGTGCCACCATCATGCCAGTGATTCCTGGAAGACAAAGTCACCTCACTGCCACATTCAAAATGCCTATTAAAAGTATAAAGGCCTGGTTCCACTCCCATCCTCACATAAGTACACAAAGTTTTCCAGCACAGAATTTAAGCTCTGGAGGTTTTCAGTGCTCTGGAAAGACCCTGAAGGGTCATCCCACCCTCTGTAAATGAATATTAAGGGCAATATCATTCATTCATTCCAAGTAGATATCAATTTTGGATTGATAGGTGGGGATGAAGGCAGATTAAAACTTGTTTTACCCTCTTCCATGAATGCTCCACTGTTGGAAGTAAGATTGAGAGAGGCAAAATTTTACTTTGAAAACTTAGTGAAGTACAAGTGGGCTGGAAGGAATGAGCTAGAAATATTGGTGTTCAATAAATTACAATAAATTTTGCCCAATGATAGATTGGGTCAAACCATGATCACTAACCCCTTTGTGCTCAATGTAATTCAGCCAACATGAATTTAAAGGTGTCCGTATAAACCTTGTTTCTCTTTTAAGCTGAATGCCCCGGAGGGTGCCGAAATGGTGGCTTTTGTAATGAACGACGCATCTGTGAGTGTCCTGATGGATTCTATGGACCTCACTGTGAGAAAGGTAAAGAAGAGCTGCCCTTGAATGTGGTCACATCACACAGGCGCCTATGTGTCTCTCAAATACACCTCCTGAAATTATTTTCTGGTCACATTATAAGGATTGGTGAAATCTTAAAATCCACAGAGGAACTATATATAGTGATGGGCACAGAGAACTCTGGTACATGTCTACACTCTTTGTGGCCACTTCCCACTCCCTGCAAAGTCACTGTTAAGTACACTATTCTTTTTTTTTTTTTTAAGATTTATTTATTTATGCATACAAGAACTGAGATACAGGCTAAAGGTGTGGCTGGTGAGAGGATTCATTCACCAGAGATAGAGTGGGGAACAGAACAGGCAGATTGACTGAAATACACTGCTGAGAGGAGCGGTGGGCGAGTCAGGAGAGGTCTGCTGTGCCATGTTTGTTGCTCCCTGGCCGGGAATCGAACTTGTGCTGCAGTTGCTGCGGATTGCTTCATAGGTTGTGTCTTAACCCCTTGCGCCACCAGGGAGGCCCCTAAATACTCTATTCTTGAACACAAGCTTATCAAAGTTGTCAGTTTCTTTCCTTTGCTTGAACTGGCTTTCAGACACTAGCGTTATGATTGATTTGAAAATATCTGCTCCAATTAAAAGCCACTTGACTCACAGTTAAGTCGACACTCAAATTAGGAAGTGGTGCAAAGGCAAAAAAAAAGGATGAAAATAATTTGTTTAGTAAGTATATTCATTCATATCAGTGGAATTATTATTAAGGAAATTATATGGAAAAAGAGATAAATAATAAAATGTGTATCAACCATAGGGTGCATAAATACTAAGAACTAATTTGACCAGAGTAAGCAAAATATTTTCTTGTTTGGAATTAGAAGATCAAGGAAATAGGGCAGGAAAAGATATTTTACAGCTGTAAGACCACATCTTAGTCAAAATAATGACTCTGGGCTTAAATTTAATCAGCCATTCAAATGGAATAAATCCAAAAATCTTTCTATGAAATTGGTTTAAAAATAGCCTCATTTATACCACAAAAGTAATTCTTAATAAAGCAAACTTGTATATCTGAAGATTGAACATTTTAGAGTCAACCACAATACTTGAAAATGTAGACCTGTTATATTTTTGACATTTCCATAATGGTCCTGCTCCAAAACCCTATTTGACCTTAATGGAGTTCTCTCTCTCTATTAGCCCTTTGCACCCCACGATGCATGAATGGCGGGCTTTGTGTTACTCCTGGTTTCTGCATCTGCCCACCTGGATTCTATGGAGTCAACTGTGATAAAGGTAACAATTTCTTTTTAAGAACAAGGATTTCTTTTTATTTTACTTTCGAAACATTTGTTTAAAATAAGTCTACTTGTACATTTTTTTAAGATTTATTTATTTATGCATACAAGAGTTAGGGTATAGGCCAGAGATGCAGGGGGTGAGAGGATTCACCAGAGACAGAGTGGGGAACAGAACAGGCAGACTGACTGAAATACACTGCTGAGGGAGCAGCGGGTGAGACAGAAGAGTCTGCTGCACCATGTGGGTTGCTCCCTGGCCAGCCAGGGATCAAACTCGTGCTACAGAGGCTGCAGATTGGTCAAAGTGCGGTGCTTAATCCCTTGTGCCACCAGGGAGGTCCCAACTTGTAAGTTTTTTAAAAGATTTATGCATACAAGAACTGGGATACAGGTCAGAGGTGTGTGGGGTGAGTGGATTCACCAGAGACAGAGAGGGGAACAGAACAGGCACATTGATAGAAATACATTGCTGAGGGTAGCAGCAGGCCAGTCAGGAGAGGTCTGCTGTGCCATGTAGGTTTCTCCCTGGCCAGGGATCGAACTCGTGCTGCAGTGGCTGCAGATTGCTTCATAGGTTTCATCTTAACCCCTTGTGCCACCAGGGAGGCCCTACTTGTAAATTTAATTAAAAAATATATGTATGGGGAAAACTAGTTAGGAGCTGAGAACCTTAATATCTGCTTAAAGACAGTGTCCACTGCCTTACATAAGAATCTCCAGAACAGCCATTCATTTCCCTGAACAAAAAATAAAAATAACACACTTGTATTTCCTGGGAATGTAGTAGATATTCTTTGATAGGAAATTTAAAATAATAGTGGCATAAAAACATAACAGAATATATATAAAAGAAGTCTACTTACTATATCATTACTCTTCATAGCAGCTCTATAAATAGAGTGTACCACTGAGCTGACTGCTGTAATAACTTGAATCACAAATTTGAGTGTAGCTTAACACAGAAGCTTGTTTTCACTCACAGAATGCTCCCGTGCAGGATCTTCTGGTCAATGAACAGGCCTATTCCTCCACATAGTGACCCAGAACCTTCTGGCTAAGCTCTTTGGAGTTTTGGAGCTAGTTCACTGGATCCAGCCAATAAGCAGAGAAAGAGAATCAGAGTAGGCACTGCTTTAAACAAACAGAACCAAAACCAATCCTGGCTCAGAATTAGCCTTAAGGTTCTTTCTGGATGCAAGCAGAAGTATAATCGCTGGCTGGACAACTGTCTGCTTCTGACTTTAGGGGAGGGAGCATGGGATTTGTCAATATGTAGTTGTCCCTGCCACATGAGGTTCTGGCATTTCCTAAATCAGTTTTGTGGGTGAGCTGCTAAGACAGAAATGAAACAACCTGCTCTGAACTGCCTGACCAAGAAATTCACTAAACCCCAAGTCAGTGCTTTGCTCACAGATCACATCCCTGAGAGACGGGGTTTCTCCCTGGAGTACTGCAGCATCATGGCCAGATTTTACTCTCAGAAGGTGGATTCAAGCTTGAACCTAAAACATTGATTCATATACTTTAGAAGATACCTGTCTGTTTTTCCCAGTTCCCATCTTTTATGAAAAAAAAAATTTAGTGAAATTATACTCATGTGAAAAATGCCAATGTCATAAGTAGAGCACTGTTTTTTCAAATAAGTATAAGCCTTAAAATAAGACAATGTGTTATTTTTGAGAAGTGTCTGTTTAGTGATAATGCAGTTAACACCAATTAATATTGAAATAAGCATTGTTTAAAAAACAGGAAAAACTGAAAAATAAAAGAGACTTTAGCTGGAGTCAGTGTAATAATTTATGGTTGTCTGTCATTTCATGGTAGAGTACTTTCAGATAATTATCTAATTTTATTTTCAGCAACCCTTTGGAGCATATAAAGTTTTATCCATCTCATTCCTTGATAAGCAGAATGAGATGTCCAGACCTCAAATCACCTGATCTCACTGTGCCGTGTGGCTGCTGGAGCCACCTGTTCCAGATCCCACTTCCTCTACAGTGACTTTGGGTCCAGGCAGGAACTGGAGCTCTCTGGGCATCATGCTTTTCCCATCTCTAAACTGGACTCTAAGCCACTGACCGCCCCCACCCCCCAAAGCCCTAGCCCTAAGTTCTTTGAGATAATGTGCCAGGGCTTCTCTACCTTATATTCAGTAATCTTTTTAAACTATAGCATGAGGTTAAACACAATTAAAAAAATATATTAATAAAGATTATACATTAACAACACTGTTAATAATTAACAGCCAGTGAGTAAGATTCTTTCATTGTAAAACTTCCTTTTATTGGTCTAAATTTAGCATTCAGCATTCTCTGCTATTTCAATATTGAGCATTTCTTGATGCAGAACCAAATTCATATTATATCAAAACTATTAAGAAATTGAGCAAAGCCTTCAGAGATTTGGATGAGGAACTCATATAGGAACATATTTAAAGAGCCATGTGTGGGGCCTGCTCACGTGGACATGGCTGTTAATTGGTGTTGCTTGCACAGTAGCGTGCCAATTATAGTGTTTTTCTAGTTCTGGTGCACACACGCTGCCTGGCCCCTGTTGAAGGAAAAAGTTTTGTCTGTATTCCAATATGCTTTACATTTTGTAATATTTTACTTTTCTGATGGAAGAGTTTCCCACTTGTTAGACTCTAATAATTTTCAAAAATTCTTTTGGGGAATATGGTAAAATTCTACTTGGTCTCATTGGAAATCTGGGAACATTAAAATATAATATTGTTCACTACTTCAACAAAAAAAATGCATTCATTATCCAGAAGGGAGAATAGATCTTCTGAAAAATAGTTTAATTACGGGCACAAAGCTAGACCATAGCATTATATATCTGAAGACACCCTAAGAATGAACATTCACTGGCTCTTGGGCCATCTGTCAAAAACTTGAGAAATTGAGTAGTTCAGCATTGGCCTAATATCCCCTCAGCCCCAGTGACAGTTACTTAGTGTGTCTGGCTCATTTCCCTATTTAAGAATTATTGCACAACAGGAATGTAGAGAAAATCAGCCAGGATGATAAAGTATACAAATATTATGAGTGTGTCCAAGCTCTGTAACTTTCACTATGCTCTCAGGCTCACTGTGTTCTATACATCTGTAAGGGACGGTCCCCAGAGGGCATCAGCCAAGGGGGACTAATCTTGATATTTTCTCATCTCTTCTTATCTCCAGTAGAAACAGGGGCAAGTGGGGAGACAGGACACACTCCCCAAAACAACAGTCTGGCCCTCATTAATTGTAACAGCAAATAGCAAGGAGGAATCCCAGAGTTGTTTCTCCTAATCCTAAATCCCAAGTCCTATCTCCAAAATCTCAATGCTGCTGCTCCCCTCTATCGAGAGGCTTAATTTTGCCAAAGGTACAATATTGCCTTAAGCGGGAAGGAACTTATGATTATAAACAAAAATGCTTTATCATTTAAGAAGCCTGGAATTCACAGAATATGCTAGTTGGAGCTCTTTTGCACAAAGAAAGCATACACTTATTGCTTTTGGATTTCCTTTCTGATTTTCCTACAGGAAGCTTACTTTAGCTTTTGTTCATCTATGGCCAACTTTGGCCTATTTTATATGGGACAAGAACAAATAGGCCATATAACTAGAATTGCCAAGAACTCAAGTTCTTATTTTAATCTCCTTTATAGAATGAGCCAACTTGTCTATTTTTAGATATTTGTTCTCCCTCTTTCCCTGTTTCCATCCTTCCTCTAGTTAGGTGCTAGTGAGTTGTGAAATTCCAGTCGGCATTCGGCATTCGATACCAAGAGAGAGGGTTCAGGGTGGGTTGCAGACAGTATGAATATTAATTGGATAATCCAGTTAATTGGACTCCCACAATAATATATCCAATTTCTTCTGGCTCATGCTGATGTGACTCCCCTGACTGTGAGGTCTCAGCCTTCCTTGTTCTCAATACACTTACACCTTCCTCCAAATGTCAGTAAGTCTATTTTTTAAAAAGTCTTAGTCCGTAAGATGAATGTCTGTTCATCTTGTTTTGAAAAAAAAAGTTGCTCTTTCTTTTATTGGAACCAAAGATTTTATCTGTTCCAAAGTAAGTTTTCCCCTTTTCCTTTATCTTAAAAACAATATTTCCTTGGGTTTTTAGTGGTGTCCTTTTAAAAGCGTATTTACAAGCTAATGAAAAAAAATACTTTCACACATTGTGCCTTTTTTTACTAAGATGCCAACCACTTGGGTGGATACTGGTAATGTATGTGGTATCCCATTATGTTTGTGAAAATCTCAAGTGGTCAAGGAATTGGTTATGATTTTTGTATTTATAATGTGATTTATTTACTAAATAAGTAGAAGGCAAGTAGCAGATGCCACAGAGGTATTACTGCACATTAAGTGAAGTTTCTGTTTTTAAATTGAACCTGCCTAATGCAACACCCTATTATTCATACTAACAGCAAACTGCTCAAACACCTGCTTTAATGGAGGGACCTGTTTCTACCCTGGAAAGTGTATATGCCCTCCAGGACTGGAGGGAGAACAGTGTGAAATAAGTGAGTACTGATTGACCATCTGCTTTCTTGTTTTCTGGGGACCTTAGGAAATCCGCTCTTTTTTTTTTTTTTTTTCCAAAGAGGAGCCAGAAGCCCAGAGTGAATGAATAGCTTGTCTAGGGTGTGAGCCATGTGGTTTCTTTCCATAGATTCTGCCACTGTCATTCTGATTAAAGGTGGAGCAGAGTGACATAGCTCAGCTCAGATGACTCAGAGAAAATGCCTCTAACTCAGATATATCTGGATTTGGGTTATTTTAGCATGTTGTTTTCTTTCTTGTTAGCATTTTTGCCCCCTTATCATCCTACAGAGCCCACAGTTTTAGCCTAGAAATGTAGACCAGAGCTTTGGGATTTATTAGAGGGTTTCTGGCTCTGCCATTTGCTGCCACATCCCCTAAACTAGACTGAGCCTAGAAACCCATCCAAGCGTAAAAAAAGAGACTCAAGAAAAGGAAGGTTGGGAATTTGCATTACAATGACAGAAAAAAAGAATGAGTAGCACACATAACAACATGAATGACTCACACAGATTCTAAGTAAATGGAGCTAGACACAAAAAAAGTGTAGAGGGCATGATTCCATTTTTATGAAGTAAAAAAACAAGCAAAATCTGTGGATGCTGGTAGAAACCAGGGTAGTGGTTGGGACACAAGGTACTGAAAATGTCCTATATCTCGATTAGTGAAGGGTCACACGAGCATTTATATAAAAAAAATAGTTGAGCTGTAAATTACAATTGCTGCATGTTATGCTTATCTGTGTATTTGTCATGCTTCAATACAAAAAAAATAAATAAATAAAAATTTGAGGGTGGAAGGTGGTAGATAATCATTGTTTTAGGAATCAGGATAGCAAAGTACTTGTCCAGGCTCTGCCATCTGCCAGCCACTTATCCCTCAGCAAGTCACTAAGCCTCTCGATTAAACCCACAAATGAGTCAGCTCCAACCTAGATGCTTTATGACCCAGAAGACAGATAACACTGAAGTTCCATTTGGGAAGTAACAAAAGGAATGTGAGCAGGTCTGCTAAGGGTGCTGTATCCCTGCCTTTCTGAAAGTTCTGGAATATGACATTCTCATTTCCAGCTGTACCATATCTGTAAAACACCAAGTAGTAAATAGAGCCATAGTTTCTGAAGTTGTAATGGATTCCAAATTTAATACTGACTTCCTATTTTAACTTTCGACCCCTAATTTATTTGTGGGTTTTTGTACTTTAATGAGTAGTAGGTGAAGTAACCATTTTTTATAGAGTTCAAATGAAATACCTCTGAAGTTTCCATAGAACATGTAATTAATTGTCAGGATGTGGTTTCTGTTCTTATTAATTACCCTTCCCTGATAAAGATATCTCTGAACTAACTCCCCTCAATTTTCACCCTGTGCTTACTCTCAGACTTTGCATACTTAGTTGATTCATGTTTATGAATCTTTGTTCATGGACTCATTTCTCTTCATCTAAGTATGCCCTATCATGCCCTTGTATTTATCTCATTACCATTGGGAAAGCCAATGTTTTTTATTTCTGATTTTGGATTTTTCCCCCCAAAGTGCACCAAAAATGTGGGCTCTTGAAAGCTTCTGATTGTTCTTATTCCAAGTTATTCTCAAACTTTTTAAGGAAATTTCTTGTTTCTAGTACAGGAACCAAATTAACAGGAGAATGAAGAAATGAATTGAAAATTGTGTCTAAAAGTAATGAGATAAAAGGTTTAATTATGTATTCTTATTTCTTAATTGAGCTATAATTCACACACCATAAAATTCACCAAAGTATACATTTCAGTTTCTCCTTAAGGTCGTGCAAAGTCACTTCTATCCCTTTCTAGAACATGCCATCATCCTCAGAAGAAACTCGGTATTCATTAGCAGTTAGTCCTCCTGCCCCCCCTTGCCCCCAAAAGCCTGGAAACCACTAATCTACTTTCTCTTTCTTTATTTGCCTATTTGGGACTTTTCATACAAATAGAATCATACAATACATGATCTTTTGTGCCTGACTTTTTTCACTTAGCATAATTTTCAAGCTTCACCTATTTGGTGGCACACATCAGTACATTCGTTTAATTGTTAGATCATAGTCCATTATATGGACATGCCAACCACATTTTGATTATCCATTCCTCAGTTGATGGACATTTGGGGTTGTTTCCACTTTGGGGCTACTAAAAAATATGCTATGAACATTCATGTACAAGTTTTTGTAAGAACATATGTTTTCAGCTCCCTTAGGTCTATACCTAGAAGTGGAATTGCTAGACAATATGTTAACTTTATGTTTGGTTTTTGAGCAACTGCCAAACTTTCCCAAAGCAACTGTGCCATTAGATGAAATATGTATTCTGATGTTATTTATATTTTCATTTCTCCTGGCCTCTAAATTTCATTCTGACTTAATTGTGAGATATGCTGCAAGTTAACAGGAAAATCATGGTTAGAGGAATCTAGATGTATGGTTATACATTTATCTTGTTTTGAGGCTTATAGATTTCCCAAGAATCTTTAATGAAACTTCACTTATAAATACCACAGAAATTATTTACAGTGTATTGTAAATGGGTTTTAAAATAATGAGTTATTATTATACAAGTTCTCTGTATAAAATATTCCCTGTAAAGAATTTAGAATATTGGCTAAAACCATTGAATTTACCCGTTAGCCTAAAACCCAAAGACTATGGTTATTGGTACTTACTGTAAACCCTACCATTTTTCTGTGTGTAGCAGAGCCACAAATTCAAATTATCCTACAAGCTGATATGTGAAGGAAATTTAATGTCTCTATTTTGTCAATATCTTAGCTCATTGTTCTAACTAGAATGCCAACAAACCTGTTTGTCTTAGTCTAGTTTGGTTTTCTAACTAGTAAAAATGCCAACAAAACTGTTTGTCTTAGTCTCTTTTAGGTAAAAATGAATAAGCTCTCAAGTGACTCAGTTTTCTACTGCCCTGTGGATAGAATTTGGTTGCAAAATATTTTTAGGGAAAGGAAGTCATTAGTAAAGACACAGGATTCAGAATTTTAAGACAATCAGCTCTTCAGGAGGTTTTGACTTCACGTGGTTTGATCTAGGGATGGACTTCCGACAGTCCCCTGCAGTCACATTTCAGTAGTGTGATAAATTAGGAGAGAGTCCTCCTTCCTGGCTGCAGCAACCCTCTTACCAAGAAAACAGCATAAGGACTCATTTATTCAGCAAAAAGTTTCTCTGTACTAATCATTCTCTGCGTTTTCCCTGGTTATCAAGTTCACCTCCCATAGAACATGGGGAAATTTGGGCTCACCAAGTATTTCACAACAAGTACTCTATCTTTCTGCTATGTAATTATAGTACCGCATCTTGCTTACTTGAAAAACTCCAGTGCATTGCAGAGTGCTGTGATAGGATCCAATTTTGTTCATATTATGGAGTCAGATGTTTCTTTGATGCGAATGAAAATTCAGAGTTACAGTCCTTTCCCTTAGGTTAGAGTTCAGATCTTGATGAAATAATAAATGCTTTTCTTTGTATTAAAACATAGAAGAAAGGACCCTTTTAGATTTTCAGTGGCCAGTGAAAAGGTGATAGTCTATTATCAGGTTTTTCTTGAGACCTGTTTTAGAACAGTCATGCTTTAGATAAAACTTAAGCTCTAATGGTATTCCATGTTTATGAGAGACTCTTAAGATCTCAGTGTTTTGCCTACACTGTCTTTGCAATGACTAGTGCTGCTTTGGTCAATTTAATATGAAGAAAACCCTTGAAGATAAGTAAAGTGCTCTTAGCAAAATTATTTTCATATGGGAGTCACTTCACATTTTAAAAGCATAGTGCTTGTTGGCAAAATGCACAGTAGTGCACATCTCTCAAAGCTTCATTTGACCATTTAAAAAAAGAGCTTAGGGAGTGAAAGGTGGGTGAGTTTAGGATAGAGATTTCATTTCTTCTCCTTATGTACTAAGATCTTTATAATGAATGTTCTGCTAATGTAGGGGAGAAAAAAAGAGAGCAACAACAACAAAATCCAGACTCCTCCACTACCAACATCTAAAAGCTGTTCGCTCTCTGTGGAATATTATTCCAGTCACAGGATGTGGTTTCAGCTTTGGGTGAATGACCCTCTGTCTTCTCAGCTTCAAAAAATTCAGCCTAGCAAATTCTAGATTGTAGAGAGGGAAAATAAATAGCTTCTGGAGCATGAAAGCAGAAAATGATATAATATTTACACGTAAGACCCTATTCCAGCTCTAAAATCCTGTGATCCCAAGATCTATGAAAACATGAACAACACTCCTTTGGCGCAGAGATAAAAGAAAGAATGATGTGTATCATTAGGAGCTAAGACTGTTCAGAAAAATACATAGGTGTAGTATCAGACAGACAACTTTTATGCCCCACCTCGTCTCCGACTCAGCCAACATTTCACTCCGGCCACTGCCTGGGCAACCTCGTTTGCATAGGCAGGGCCTGAGTGCACCTCCATTGGACTGCCCCGCACTTGTCTTACTTCAGCTCCCCTCCCTGAGTCTTAAACAACACAGCTTGCACTCACATCGTTGCAGAATGGGTTGTGAGGAAACTCACCCATGGGGCAACTCCTGACCAGTGGGACACAGCAGCCCAAGAATAAATGCCTCCTTCACCTTTCTTAACCACAGCTCTGTGGTGCAATCCAGCGGCTCCTTAGGACGCAGCAGGAGAGAGCTGGGTTGCCCATAATGACGACAGCCCACAAACACTGTCAGCTTTCCCTCCTTCCTCATTCTCGTCTCTCCACTCTACATTTTTGTTTCCTAGGACCACTTCCCAAATAAGCTATCTGCCCACAAGTCCTGATTTTGGGAGAATCCTAAGCTAAGGCAGATGTCCTCAGGGACAGGTGTAGGCCTGCTTTCCATAAAAGTGATGTTCAAAAGTCATGACCCAGAGAAAAGAGCATTTAGAAATTTATTCATCGCTTAACTTTTCCATATCTTAAATTACTGTGTTTATGGATCAGTTAAAATATGATTCTGCCCATGGAAAAGTAACGTAAATATAGAGTGTTTGTTGCAGGAGATACAGATTTGGTTTTTTGTTTGTTTGTTTGTTTTTTTAGAATATTCAAGCTTATATGTATTTATTCATCTCATTGGAATCCAGATCTGTCTTATTATTTTAATTAATATAGCTTTATATTCTTGCAATCAGGCAGTGTTAGTCTTCCAACTTCATTCTTTTTCCAAGCTGTTTTTTGATATTCTAGGTTGTTTGTACTCTTACATGAATTTTAGAACCAGTTTGTAACAGTTTCTTCAAAAACTCCTGTGAAATTTTGACTGGGATTGTATTGAAACTACAGATGTATTTGTGAAGAACTGACATCTTAGTAAGACTGTTTTAAGTCTTTCAACCATGAACTCAGTAGATCTTTTCACTTCTTTATACTGTTAACATCTCCCAGCAATGGTTGACAGTTTTCATTTGTCAGATTTATCTGTAAATATTTTATGTTTCTGTTCTATTATAAATGGTATTGTTTTATTTACTGTTGCTTTATAGAAACTCAATCAATTTTTGTAGATTGATTTAATATTTTGCAAACTTACAAAACTCACACAATTAATTTTAAAAGCTTTTTGGTAGAGGCTATCAAATTTCCCACATGGATGCAGGAGATACCGATTTAAAACCAAGTAACAGTACTAGCCTGTTTGTAGTGAAAGTCACGTGAAACTCCAACAGCAGTAAAGCCAGAGAGGGTCAGAATTAAGTGGAAATAACTGCCATTGAAAAGCACTTATGCTCTCAAAGCCTTGCAGCTCCTTTGATAGATATACCACTGAGTGAAGCACTGAGTTCCTCACCTTTTTGCCTTCTGTATTTCAGGCAAATGTCCACAACCTTGTCGCAATGGAGGTAAATGCATTGGTAAAAGCAAATGTAAGTGCTCCAAAGGTTACCAAGGAGACCTCTGTTCAAAGCGTGAGTACCCCATGCACATAATGCGGGTCACGGGAGAATAAGCTGGCACTAGCCCCCTACTTCGTAACTTCTGTGCCTACTGCATGCTGCCTGGCCGTCACAATGAACATTTCTTCACTGACATATATGTTTCCTTTATGGAGTCGAAAGGAATTGTATGAAATCCATGCATGTAAAAAAATGTGTTCCTTCACACTAGCACCTGAACTTTTTTAATTTCTTAGGAGTTTTCTTTAGGAAAATAAACTTCCATTGCCCAGCAGTTTGAAAGTCCTGCTGAGCCCTTTTGTGAATAAGAAGCAGCAAGCTTAAAGATCACTCTGAGACTTTCTCAAGAAGTCTAAAACTGACTTATAATGAGAGATACTTAAAAAAAAAAATTAGGGGGTGAAGCCAAAACTAACACTTTCTAAAGAACAGCAAGAAAAGCAGCTGTGTAATTCTGTTGAAAAATGAAAGCTCTGGAAGCATTCTTTTCATCGCCTTTGATTCTAGCTGTCTGTGAGCCTGGCTGCGGAGCGCACGGAACCTGCCATGAACCCAACAAATGCCAATGTCAAGAAGGCTGGCATGGAAGACACTGCAATAAAAGTGAGTGGGAGCCCGCTGGGGAGCCAGCCTCTTTCACTTCTGTTTCTTGGCTCCAAAGGCTAATAGACAACCCATAACTCAACCCTGCTTTCCATTTCATTAAAAGCAATTTCTCTATCTCTTCTCCCTCCTTGCTCCACCACCTTCTCCAGCCCCTGAAATTCTTTCATCTTTGAGTCTAAGCTTGAGACTGTAAAATATCACATTTGTAGAATACCACCATGAATATTTTCTTGGTTAAATTAGTAATACTGGTTGATCCGGTAATGTAGTATGTTACCTCTGAGAGAAATGACAAGTGAAATTAAGATTTTAATTCTAATGTGGAATTATTGCAGATAATGTACAATCTGCTTAGCTCTGATTTTATCATTCCAAATTTATGGATTAGTACATAAGACATGGAAAGTTTTGTTCTTTAAAATCTTTAAATTGTGTTGGTTATGGTGTTTTATGTGAATTCTGAGAAAAAGTCCATGAAGTATGAGAGAGATGTTATAATAGAATTCCATTTTTCAGATTTGCTGACTGCCACCAATGAACTGGCTATACACAAAATAAATCAAATGCTAAATTCAACCTTTTTGTTTTGATTGGTATCCTCTCTGTGTGAAGCATGAATCCAGATATTGGGGGACACACAGGGAACGGACAGAAAAAGTTCTGCTTCCTGGAGCCCCATTCTAGTGAGGGAGGGTCAATTAGCAAGTGGACAAAAGAAATGGTGCAATTTCTGTACATCTTGCAGCTGGGACTCCTAAGCCTGCATTCACTGTCTGCTTTCCTTTGAGAAAAGGAAGGCTTCAGTCATACAACACCCTTCAGTAACAGAAGTCCAGATTGTGTCTATCGTATTGTGTCTTTCAAATAGGGGACATAAATTGAACAAATCACTTAGACACCCGATGTTTTTCTAGATTAGTGATCACCAAAAGGTGGTACATGTCACCCGCTGAGTGTGGAATGAGCTGCTGATTAGTTTTAAAGTACTTTTGTTTTATATTATTTACTTTATGTATATAAACATGTGTGAAATGTATTTGTTTCTCAAACTTTTGTGCTTATTTTATAATGTTTACACTATTTACATTTAGGTGTACATGTTTGTTTATTTTAAGGTAGGTTGGTATCTGGGCTAGACTACACTTTACCACACTACACTAGCCCATTGTATAGACCGCATTTGAGTCTGTTGCATCCACTGAATTGACTGGGTGGTAGACTGAATTGACTTTAGCTGGGCACAACTTAACAAGCTGTGCAGGTCCTTTGGTAAATTGCTCATTTACTCAGGTATTAATGGTTAAATGGTATCTCTCTTAGGATATACTTACAAAGAACCTGTATTTGAACTAAAAGACCTATAGAAAACTAACCAATTTTAGTGCCATTTTTGAAGAGTAAACTAAACTCTTTATGCCACCCTCAATTGGAGGCTCATCAATTTGAGGCTTGTCTCAAAATCAAAGTAACTTTCTAGAAGTCCTTGGGGCTAGAGATGACTTGAGGTCAGAACAGGCACCCCAAGACTCAGTCACAAATATCTTTTGGGACTCACTTCTGGGGCCTGGTGACTACGCAGAGGAGAGCTAAAGGGGCACTGCTCCTGTGGATACACCTGGTCACAATTACAGAAAGAAAAAAAAAGGCAAGTGAAGGACCCCTGTGTAGTATAGACAAGTAATCCTGACAGGTCAGCCAGCCCCCAGGTGGCACCCCTACCTGTTGACCAGGCTGCTGAAAGCTTTTGTCATCCATGAACCTCCTTCAGATGAAGGCATAGCATGTCAGGAAGATGCCCTGGGGCTTCATTAAAATACAAACGTGTTTTCAGGAGAGGCCACCCAGCCATTTGTGTATTAGCTAAGAGAATTAAGCTGAAAGAATGGGGTTTATTTTGACTAGAGGGAAGTGACAGGAAGTTCTGTGGCATGGAGCAGATTCCCAGTGGGGTGACACAATGGGAGGTCCTGAGCACCCAGACATCTTAGCGGAGAGGAGAATACTGGAGACAGACTGCCCAGCCTGGACTCACCCTCACCAGCAGGGAGGTTTGGGCTTCATGGGTGGCAGGGCGGGCAAGCAGCAGAGAAGGGATTTATTCCAGCTCATTGTTGGCTCATGTTTTGACTGTTCCATGAGCTACTAGCCTACATACTGACAATTCAGAGAAACACATTCAGGAAAAAAATATTCTGTTCTCACTAGTTATTTAATGGCATGCTTGCACTGGAAAATGAAATGCTGAACTAGAAGCTAATGCACAAGGAGATGGGGGCAGATTTTTAAAATGTGATTGCCCTCTTGGATTACTTTTAAGAAATCAGTAGAAATAGATCAGTGCCCCAGGCACCTCCAAAAGTTCACAAGCTAGGAGAAAGGAAGGCCTGAAGTTATGTAAATTAGTGTCACACTCCACTTAACAGCTGAGCTGGAGATGGATAGATGCTCACAGTTGCTGAAACTCACAAAATCCCATTGATAAGGAGTCAGTTCAAATCATAACCCTTCCTCTAACATGTGTCATTCCTGTATCCTTCCTATTATAGCTGCGCCAGAGCATGTGATCCAGATGAAGAGTGGGGTTATTGTATTGAACTAGATCAATACATTGAAGGCGGCTTTTGCAAAGCAGTGAAAAGGATCAAGGCACAAACCCTCTGCAGAAGCTCCCCTGCCTTTGAGACATTAGTGCTAGATCCTTACCAGCCCTTGGGTGGAGACTATCCTTTCATTCAATAACGTCCATCCAAACTTTGAATCAACAGGGCCTCCCCTGGTGGCGCAGGAGGTTGAGCACAGTGCTGTGAGGCTGTCTACAGCCTCTGCAGCGAGGGCTCAATCCTGACCAGCTGGCGAGATACCCACATGGCATGGCATATCTCCTGTCTTGCCCGCTGCTCCCCTCAAGAGTGTATTTCAGTCAGACTGCCTGTTCAGTTCCCTGCTCTGTCTCTGGTGAATCCTCTCACCCTCCCACACATCTGGCCTGTGCCCTGGTTCTTGTATGCATGAATAAATAAATCTTTTTTTAAAAAAACAATCAAACTTTGCATCAACAGTTTCTGCACAGCCAGGCCAGAGAGTGAGTCACGGATTCAGTGGAAGTCAGATTTGGTGGAGTTAAATGGGTTTCTTTTAACAGAGATCTTGAATCTGTAGCATCTCTTCATTCAGGTAGCTTTTTGTGGTCACTGTGGTCTTTCACTCTAGGTTGAAAAGGGAAAAAGGATTTCATTTGAATAGTTAATAATGAATCTGAAGAGCCTGTTTTTGTAGTTTCTTTTCTTTTAAGCTGTGAATAATTTTGCAGGATATGGAGCCAGCCTCATGCATGCCCTGAGGCCAGCAGGCGCCCGGCTCAGGCTGCACACGCCTTCACTTAAAAAGGCCGAGGAGCGGCAGGACCCACCTGAATCCAATTACATCTGGTGAACTCCGACATCTGAAACGTTTTAAGTTACACCAAGTTCATAGCCTTTGTTAACCTTTCATGTGTTGAATGTTCAAATAATGTTCATCACAGTTAAGAATACTGGCCTGAATTTTATTAGCTTCATTATAAGTCACTGAGCTGATATTTACTCTTCCTTTTAAGTTCTCTAAGTATGTCTGTAGCATGATGGGATAGATTTTCTTGTTTCAGTGCTTTGGTACAGATTTTATGTCAGTTGATCAAGTTAAAATTTTGTCTTTGCAGTGCAGTTGGCAGATAATTTCCAAAATTACAATGCATTCATGGTGTCGGGGGTTGGGGGTAAACATTAGAGAAGATAAATGCAACAAAAATGCATAAGTCACAGGGATTTGGATGAAGCACTTCAAGGTGCTGAAGTTACAAGCGTACAAATTTTATTGTCATGTATTTAGACATTGGTCACATTTTTTTCATCACCCTTATTTTAAAACTAAATACAATGTATTTTGACCTTATCATGACTCCAGAGAATTCACTATTAAAAAAAAAAAATAAAAGAAGTAACACTGTTGTAGTGGCATTTAAACAATATAATATATTGTAAACACAATAAAATAGGGAATATAATGTATGAACTTTTGCATTGGCTTGAAGCAACATAATATATTGTAAACAAAACACAGCTCTTACGTAATAAACATTTTATACTGTTTGTACGTATAAAATAAAGGTGCTGCTTTAGTTTTCTGAGTGTTGTATGGAGTAGTCTTTACATGTGCTACCTTATGGAAATAAAGTTTGTTGTAATCAGTGGTAGTTGAAACTTTGCAGTATCATAAAAAAGGCCAGGTATTCCATTCTCTGACCCTGTCTGAGCCCTCCAGAGCCTCGTGTCTCCCTCCCAGTCCTTTCTACTCCAGCCAGTCCACACTCCACTCTGCCTGCTACACTCCTATTTATGTCAGCACCCAACTTGGTTGTCATTTCTTTCAAGAAGTGCTCTCCAGGGCCTCCCTGGTGGCCTAGGAGTTAAGGCTCAGGGCTATCACCACGATGGCCTACCTCCATGGCCTAAGCTCAATCTCCGACCAGGGAGCTACCCACAAGGCGCAGCAGACCTCTCCTGTCTTGCAGCTGCTCCCCTCAGCAGTGGATTTCAGTCAGTCTGCCTGGTCTGCTCCCCACTCTATCTCTGGTGAATCCTTGCGCCCCCTACACCTCTAGCCTATACCCCAGTTCTTCTATGCAAAAATAAATAAAATCTTAAAGTGCTCTCTAACCAGGATGTGTTAAATTTCCCACTAATGGAAAACTTTCTAAAGGTATCAGTATGTCCCAAGTTTAAAGTGCTACCGGTTATTTAAAGCCTGTTGGTGGTGGGTGTGGTGAGGGGACATACATCTGAAGAGGTGTGACCTGTACTTCTGAATCATAAAATGTTGTAAACCAACATTACCTCAATAAAAAAATAAATTTATCCTATTGGTTCCCAAGAAGAACATTATATGTGCTATCTTATAATCCTATGAGGCACATGTGCCATCTTACGGATAAGAAAATTGAACAATGGAGATGTGAAGCAATTTCTGCAAGGCCACATGTGATATGGATGAGTCTGGCCATGTCATCCAACTCCGCAGGTGTAATGTTCTACTGTTCTTCCTCTCTTTTTCTCAGCAGATACAGTGGAACACAAAACTATACCAATCCTAGATAACACCTTTCCAACATAATTTACTGTCTTTATTTTCCTAAAGTAATATGGTCTTTAAAGTCTACACATTTTCTTATGGATGATCAGATGTGTGACTTAGGGAAGTAATGTGCATTACAGAAAATGACGAAAGGGGAGTCTGGAGATAGAGTGAATACATCTTGTTGAGGTCTCAGACCACAGCAATTTTTCTTGATAAGCTCTAGCCAGAGCCCAGAGTGACAGTCTGTGGTCCACAAAGACTTGATAAAGCAGGCCAAATGGCAGGGAGCTAATCCTGGAATGGGACTTTTATGTAAAGATCCAAATTTTATGTAATGAAGATCTAAGTTAATAATTTGCTAATTAGTAATCATAAGTGATTAATAATGCTTAGTAGAAAATTAAAGTTTGTGATAGGGTAATATTTATATCATGCTGAGTTTATTCTAAATGTTTTACTTGTATTAACTCATAGATGAAAAATATAAGGGTAGGTATGTTAGACTGAAGGCAGGGTGACACACAGCAATTGTCTGGGTCAGTCATCTCCCAGCCTAATTTTTTTAAAGATTTATTTATTTATGCATACAAGAGCTGGGGTGCAAGGCAGAGGTGCTGGGGGTGAGAGGATTCACCAGAGACAGTGGGGAACAGAACAGGTGAATTGACTGAAATACACTGTTGAGGGGAGCAGCAGGCAAGACAGAAGAGGTCTGCTGCATCATGTGGGTAGCTCCCTGGCCGGGGATTGAACTGGTGCTGCAGTGGCTGAGATAGCTTCATAGTGCTGAGACTTAACCCCTTGTGCCACCAGGGAGGCCCTCCAAGCCATTTTGATTGTACATGCCACTAGAAATTTTGGAGCACTTAGTCCCATATATAACTATTATTTATTTACATGTGTACTACCTATATGCACATTCTAAAAGCCAGAAATGTTAAGGAGACAAATGTAAATAGAAAGGCTACAGTTTTCTTCACTTACTCTAAAGACCATTTTATGTACACCCTGGAGTATACCCACCATACAGACCTTAAGTAAAGGTAAGAAAAAATAAGTTCTGAAATGACTTCAGTGAAGTTTTGACTCAGAAACTTCAAATCTAAACAGGGAAATAGATGACAGATTGGTAAGGATTAAGAAAAGGGAGGGATCTGATAATGATACTAATGACTAAGAAGGAGCAAGTGTGGGTTGGAGTGTGCATTTCCAGAGATGTTGAGTTGAGTTTGAAGTGTATTTGGGATATCCTGATGGAAATGCCTGGTAATCACTTGGAAATATAGTAAGGAGGTTAAGTTAATAGTTTGCTAATTAGTAATCATGTTTTAAATGATTAATATTAACTACATATATAATGAATATAATTACTTTTAATAGAAACATACATAATAACTTTATTTGGTGAGTTGTAATATGATTACTTGTGTTTTGTTTTGTCTTTAGATTCCATGTACAGTTAACATCCTTTGTTGCTGACCTGTGTGTATGTTTATGTAACAGTGTGATCTTTACTGTTGACAACTTGATTAAGCACCTCTCCCTCCCCACCTTAATATGTATTATGAATCTTCATCCAAAATATACCCTCTGGCTGCTTTGTTAATTTATGTATGATCATAATTATGGGGGTCTGATCTTCACATAAAGGTCAATAATATGGACAATGAAATAACTGTTGTTACTCTTATAAAATTACCATACAAGAAGAGGAGGATGAAGGAAGAGGAGCAGGAGAATATTTATATAAAATATCTTTAAATAATAATTTAAGTTAAGTCAGTCTGAGAAGATTTGTACTATTTGGCAAGATAAAATAAGTAGGGGAAAAAAAGTAGGAAAATGAGGCAAAAAGAAATCAATGTTAAGTAATAAACTTAGTCCGGGAGTAAAGTTGGATCAAAAGGCATTCAGAGACCCTTAAATTCTGCTCCAACCACCTGGTTGGTGACAAGCAAAGACCATAAATATAAAAACACTAGTTCAGGAGAAGTTATATTATACAAAAAACTTACATTAGGAATGGATCAAGACACGTAGGTCTGTAGGGAAGCTGCTTTTTTTTTTGACTATCCTTGATGCTAACAATCTTTAAAATCTCCCTGCCACATTTATTTACAGAGGAACTGAATAAATAAGAGGTGAGATAAAAAAAAAAAAGAGTTGTCGGCAGTCTCCAGCTTCTCATCCACTATCCCAAGTAATTTGTTTCTGAACCTCAAATTCTATCCACCGCCCATATGCAAAAGCTTTCCAGTTAAATTCAGCCAAGGTGTTTCAAGCATATTGCTATTTGAGTATACTCCTTGAAATTATTTTTATTTTTTTATTTTAAAAAGATTTATTTATTTATGCATACAAGAGCTGGGGTGCAGGCCAGAGGTGCAGGGAGGTTTGGGGGGATGAGAGGATTCACCAGAGACAGAGTGGGGAGCAGAACAGGCAGATCTACTGAAATACACTGCCAAGGGCAGCAATGAGCAAGACAGGAGAGGTCTGCTGCACCATGTGTATAGCTCCCTGGTCTGGGATTGAACTCATGCTGCAGTCACAGCAGATAACTTCAGGGTGCTGCGACTTAAAGCCTTGCGCCACCAGGGAGACCCCTATTTCTATTTTTTGAGGTAATATTAGTTTACAAAACTATATAGGTTTCAGGACCTTGGAATTCTTGACACTTCCCTAAGTGGCTTCTCAAGTACATATTCCCTTCTACCACATACAATTGTCCTCCTACAAGGAGTTTTGGTAATTCCATCTTTTTCCCATTTCATTCCATGTTCACTGAGCCATCTGACACAATGTGAGTGTGACCTGCTAGGCCTGGCCCCAGGTGAGCTAGCTCTTGACACCAGCGCTGATGGAGCGCACAGGTTACAGGGTCTCCTAAAGAGAGCCTTGTAATACACAAGGTCTTGTGACACAGAGGAGTAAAAGCTAGGACGGCTTCCATGTTCTCCAAGAAGGCACAAGTCATCAAAATAAAGTATAGTTTAACAAAAGCATTTCTATCAAAGTAGGGAGGGGTTAGGGCTACGATGAGGTGAACAATTTTTCAGTTGGGTAAATGAGGAACATTACCATTTCAGAAGAATTTCCTGAGGCAATAAAAGGGAAAGAAAACAAATGACTATCTAAAGACAGAAGTTTCGTCATTGTAATTTTGAGGCCATTTATGCAAGTGGTGCAAATATAAAAGTTTAATAAGCATATTGCATAAATGTCCTCCATATGGCTCAACATAAAAAAATAGAAACCATATACAGGAAACTGACATCATAAAACAAAGGGTTCAGGTGTTCAGGAAGATTTTTTTTTTTTACTCTAATATAAACTCTAAATGTAAACTGAATTTGCACCTGTTTACTGTTCTAATACTGTTTAATAAGAGTATTAAAATTACAAATGAAAAATAACTTTTATTAAGCTTAGGCAATGCAGGGTTTTTGCTTGGTAGCAATTTTCCCTCCCTAATCATGTCCAGTTTTCTTAACTCTTGATATTGCCTGGTATTTCTTGAGAGTGCAGACCAAGACAAGCTACTCTGAGATGACAATGATTCATAAAATCCACAGGAGATCACTGAAAGTTGACTCATGGTGGGATGAGAAGAGATGACACTCAAGAGTCCAGCCTCCAGCATGGTCCTGAGCTCAGAGCAAGAAGAGAGCAGAGAACCTTAGTCTGCTCTCATCCAGGAGAAAGACTATGTAACTTGAGAAGCCCAGAGCAAAATGAAAATTTCAGGTCCCTTGGTCAAAAAGCACTAAAAATTTCAAAAGGGTAACAGCAGATCATTACATCTAAGAGAAGGTCCTTGGTACAGCTGCACAGTTACACATCCATGAAGCTGGAGCATATTCTTAGGTCCATGGACAGGACATTTAGGTCAAACAAAACCTCTACTTCTATTAAGGGACTGGCCAAATGACCCAGCCCTTGACCCAACCTCAGAACTCGAGCCTTGAGAATGCAAGAATCATTAGCCATCAAACTAGTTAAGTCAGTGACCATTTACTGAATTTCTTCTGTATTATTATTATAAACACATAC